TTCACACTCACCCATGAAACAATGTCAAGAGGGAAATCTGTCAAAGGGCTAAAAAGAGAACGGTTGGGGTGGGGTTTTTTTTTATTATTAGGTGCATTAATCGCTTCCATATCTCGGTGTAACAAAAGGAACAAAATTAGACAAACGCATTTGAAAACATTCTCGGTGAAGCTGTATTTCCGAAAGCAGTAAGCAACCAGCCAAACAAGCAAACAAAAGTGATTTTCTGCTCGTTGAGTAAAAATGCCACTGAGTACTAAAATTCACGTTCGCTTAAATGTGACTATTATTTTGAAGGTGGTTCTGAAATTATCACCGCTTATAAAACGATTACCTACATCTCATGCAGAGTAAAATATATATTGCTTCTATGTGTTAGGAAAGTAATTACAATCATAAGGGTAAATATTTTCAGGTACTATGCGAACAGGGGAGAGGTTTGGAAATCTTACTTCATGTTGGCAAGATTTTCAACTATATACTTTAACAACATTCTGGAATAAATACTCCACACCTCTGCTGGATACCTGGGCAGACGCATCAGTTATTAGCTGAGCACATGCAGTCTCGCATTAAAAAAAACAAAAAATAAATAAAAAGGGAAAAAAAGCCTCTCCCCAAATGTACCAAATCGTGGTGGTGTATTTCTGATAACCCATCATATTTCTTATGTTCTTATACGAAGTACTATCATTCTTGTGAGAAAAAAAAAATAAAAAGGAAGAAGATACACCATCTACAAAAATGTATTGCAGTGTACATCTTAATAAAAACCTTGGGGTGGATAGTGAAATGTAAGTACTATCAAAGGAAATAAATTTGAGGCACCGGATGGACAGACATGTAACTGAATTGTGTTACACACAGAAACACAACCCAGACACGACTCAGCAACTCTGCTTCTGCTAATTAAAATCTTAGTCTTGTTCGGAAAGAGAGAAAATAAAGGGGGGGGGGGGGGGGGGGGGAGAGAAAAAAAACCAACCAAACAAAACAGCTAAACTAAAGGGCCTGTAGGGTTGTTGCTGTTCCGTTTAAAAGACTAAACGCCCTTTTCCAACATGATCTACAGAAGCTGACACTTAAATGGCAAGAGAGCAAGCTCTGAGAGCAGGCACGCTGGTGTCGAGGTTTCTGCAGTTCGCTCTCCCGAGGGAAAAATAGTCAGTCCGGGTTTTTTGGGTGATCCTGACCAGGGTTTGCAGCTCGCCAGCCTGACCTGTCAAGCGGATTATTTTAGAGGGAGATTAATAGGGGAGGCGGGCTGCAATAATAATCGTTTTGTTTGATGTGACAACTTTGATAGGCGTTGATTTACTTACAAACTGATAGGCTTTTAATTGAGCGCCTCCATCCAGCTTGAGATGAAAGGAAAACCGCATTGAAAAGCTGCCCGAGTGCCCTCGAGCCTCAATACTGATTAGCCATCTCGACAGTGAATAGTTCAAGGCATTTTCAAACTTTTTTTCCTCTCTTGCTCTCGCTCTCCTCTCCTCCTCAAATATCTGCCAGCCCACTCCTTTTTAAGAGAAAATAAATCATTTCCATTGTGTGCAAATAAAATCGACTTGACATGCTTGCCAATAGCTGGTAGGTAAAGGAAAGTGTGGACTGGCACTTGTTAATTAATTCCTCCTTTGCTCTCCTTTTTTTTTTTTTTTTTTTTTTTTTTTTTTTTTTTTTTAAGTTACAATTTTCCTTTGTAAAAAGAGGAAGACGGGTTCCAACCCTTGGAATTTTTTTTTTCAAAGGAATAAAAGCAACAGCCACCAAAACTTCAACAAGACTACACAAGTAAATGCCAAACAGCAAACCGTCTGCACGGACTCATTAAACAAGAATCCCTCGCGAAGGTAACGAGCAGGACAGAATCGCTCTTCTTCGGCTCAAGAGAGGAAAGGAGCCCGCAGCAGGCAAATCGCAAACTCCGCACCGCTCTCAAGCTGCAGCCCCGCCGCCCGCCCGATCCTACGCGTGTGCATCCTAACTCCGAGCCCCTCGCTGGGAATCGTTTTCTGCGTGTGTTAAGCGCAGTGAATAAGCTCTCATAGTTCAAAAATGCTTTGGAGGGCGCAAAGGGGAGGAGATGTCTTGGGGCTGATTTTTTTACAAGGTTCTACATAAAAAAGTTTACAGTACTGAGTGAGATTTAAATCTCATTTCAAAGGCTGAGTGGAGAGAAAAAAAATAAAAGCAAATGAAAAAGCTGTCCTCTGAAGTTGCTAATTAAATTACTCTCTGATGCTTCTACTTCAGCCAGAAAGATCGGGGTTCGTGCTGTTCCCCCCGCTTCGTCCCCCGCTTTTCCCTTCGGTGCGCTGCCTGTTTTATACATGTACCGGCTATCGCCTTTGCTTCCTTGGCTTACAAGTAAAACAATCCTTCCCCGAAATCACCCTCACCTCCACAAGAAAAGAGAGAGGGAAGGAAAAATGGGGAGGGAGAGCCTTCCCACAGCTGACTCTACCTTAAGACAATTAATCTTTAGTCTTTCACCCTGGGAGGCAGGATAAATACAACGAGAAAACAGATAGGAGTCTCCCCGGTCCTGTAAGGAAAACAGCTGTTCCAAGCACTTTAATGCAAATGAACACAAATGAAGGTTTCAGCTTTTTTTTTTTTTTTCTTCCAGAGTTTTACTGCACTCCATTTATCAATTGGACTTGACAACAAAAGAAAGAACTGGGGGAAAACCTGGGGCAGATTCAAGTCACTTCCACTCTAGATAAAGGAGGGGGGGGCGGGGGGGGAGTTCCTTGAGGGCAAGTTGTGGGTCTTGTCAGTCTTATTGCAATATCGTGGGTTTTATGCAAGATTTCTTTCTCTACCTCCTCTCCCCTGCCTTTTAGTTTTGATGGTCTTGCTAGATGACCGCGGTGATTGCAAAATGAAAGTACGTTTATGATTCTCCACTGAGAAGTTGTGCCAATAAACCTTATCTTTCGGAGAAAATATAGAAATTTAAAAGTTTGTTAAAATTAATCGCATCTTTATTAAAGCTAGAGGAGTTCCGTGTATTTATCCTACTCTGTACACTGTAGTAAAAGAGTAAAGTGGTTTAAATAAAATACAGCAGATATACTTACTGCGCTGCAAGATTTAAAGGGTACCTCTTGGCGGGGAAGGGGGGGGATACCGAGGAAAACCTGCCTTACATATACCTCGTAAGAAGAGCAGGTCATTAAAGACTATCTGACACATCTGTTTAGGGACTGGGGCAGATCGGTGTTTCAAGGGAAGAAAAAGGACTGGGTTCAGCAAATCTAAACGTGAGAAAGTGAAAGTCCTTCCTCTCGTCCAACCCTTCCAGGATCAGCGCCTGTTCTGGTTGGAGTCCAGGTCAGGAATTGGACGCGACCCCTAAAGCACTTGCCTTGTTCTTCACTTGTCAAACGTGTTTTATCTCTAAGTGACCTTTTTGTTAATGTTGTAGATTGTGTGGGCCACCATGTCAGATCCGGAAACAAAAGTAAAAGATTGATTAACACATTTTGCCTGTGAAAAAATGTTATGGGATGAGGAGGTGGGGGGATAGTGGGAAGCAAAGTACAAAGAGAAAAGAAAAAGGCAACCCAGCGACTTGAAGGGCTGCGGATTCCGCTCGGGGCATCAGCCGGCACCGGTAAAAACGGGGATGAGGGCAGAGGACTCGGTACCCTTCGGGAGCGCACAGACACAAAGCAGGACGAATGTAACGCCGGGACGGACACCGTGTGCGTACCCAGAAGGCACTCAACACAGCCTAGCTGAAAATCCAACACATAAACGGCGAACCAGTACTCTCGTTAGGGCGAGGGGCCGCCTCCCCAGGCCCCCGCTGCCGGGGACCGGTTCAGCCCGGCGGGCGCAGGGACGAAGGACACTTTCGAATAGGACGAAGAGGGAAGGGGAAGAGGAGTCCAGCAGCCCTCCCCAACAGGGCAGTGAGGGGCTGGGGAGGGCTACCGGTTGCTGGCAAACAAATCCAGTTTACTCCAAGGATTTATTCCGTAAATTAAAAGGCTTTTTCTCCCGAGGAACCCGTCTCTCCCTCTGTTTTCTTTCCTTCTTCCTCTTTCTCCCTCTCTCTCTCCTTCCCCCTTCAAGTCACACCAGGCTTGTAATCAGCAACAAAAGCTGACATAAATCAAGGGCGGATTGACAGGGGCTGACAAATAACTGATTGATTGCGGTTGGGGAGCACTGACAATTGACGGCGGGGCGGAGAGTCCCGAAAGGCGGCGGCGGGCTGTGCGTGACAGCCCCGCGTGTGACGACCTCCCCCAATCCCGCCGCGCTCCCCGCGCCGCCGCAAGCGCGCCGCAGCGCCCCGGCTCCCGCCCGCTGCCGCCGGCGACGTGCAGGCCGGCGCTCTGCAGGTTCTCGTCCGGGCCTCCCCTGCGCTGTCAGGCGGGAGGGGCGGGAAAAGCGCCCCGCGCCCTTCCGCGGGTCCCGGAGGGGACGCGGCGCGGCGGCGGCCCCGGAGCGGTCCCGGCGGGCTGGCCCCAGGGAGGGGCGGCGCGGGCCGGGCCCGTAAGCGCCGTGCGCGGCGGGCGGCAGGTCGTGCTCGGGGCGGTGTGCGAGCGGCGGGGGCGGGCGGGGGAAAGGCGGCGGAGCCGGCAGCCGCCCCCCGGCAGGCGCGGCGCCCCCAGCCCCGCGGCCGCCCCGCCGCTGCCGCGCGATCCGCGCTGGCTGCGGAGGAAGAAAAACGTTCGCAGCGCGTGATGTGAAACACAGAATTAACGCCCATCCCATCCTAGGAGCGAAAACAAGGAAGGAGGGGAGGGGAGAGGGAAGGCGGACGAGAAAGGGAAGGGAAAAAAAAAAAAAAAAAAGAGAGAGAGACCATTAAAAACGGAGGAAAAAAAAGCCCAGAAAAGGGAACGTCACATCCCCTTGACCCTCCAATCACCTCGGGGTCCCATTTGATTGGAAGGCGGCAAAGGCTTTAATCTCAGACTAATTCAGCTGCTTTTGAAGTGAGTTTCTTTGCCAGATCCCGGGCTGGATGGGCAGCGGCTCGCATCACAGCTGAGCGGCGGAGGCGAGCGCTCCGCGCCGCGCCAGCCGGGGGAGCTGAGAGCGGCCGAGGGGGACCGCGGCACACGCTCGCAGCCCCCACCCCCGCCCCCAGCACAGCCCAAGGATTACTCGGCTTTTTTTCCTCCTCTTTCTCTCCGGCCGGCTCCCCCTTTCCCTCCCCCTCCCCACCCACGCCCTCCCCGCCAGAGAGAGCCACGGGACATTGTATGTTTGTTTTTCTGCTCGGGGGGCGTGTGGCTTTTTTCCTTTCTCGCCCGCAGAAAGCGAGCGAGCGTTTCCGAGTGCGAGCGGCGCCACTTGCCCCAGTTTTCATGCGAGGTTTTGGGTCATGATCACATCGCCCTCGCTTTCTGCTATAAGAAGTAGTAAGCGCAGCAGCAGCCTCAGCGAGCCCGGAGGCAGCCCCCGCCGCAGCCGCAGCGCCGCCGACCTCGCCGGGCCGAACGGGCACGCTGGGAATAACGGCAGCAGCGCCGCCGCCAAGCCCTGCTTCCACGCCGTCCCCCCCTCGGACCCGCTACGCCAAGCCAACCGCCTTCCCATCAAAGTCTTGAAAATGCTCACGGCGCGGACTGGACACATTTTACACCCTGAATACCTGCAGCCTTTACCCTCCACGCCCGTCAGCCCCATCGAGGTAAGGACCCGGCCCCCGTGGCTTTCTCTCGTCCCTGCCCGGGCGCTGGCTGTGCATGGCGGCTCCGCCAGCCGCCCTCGGCACTTTCCTGCGCTTTGAAATGCATTTATACCGGGACAGGGGCTTTTTTTGATCTCGAGTTAGTGCGAGGAGCCGCTCCTGGGCATTGTTTCCGTGTTTACTGGGATAATATTTAGTTCTTGTGTAAATTAATATTTTCTTTTTGCTATTTTGAGCCTTTTTTTTTTTTTCCATTTTGAGAGGAGGGGTGGGTGGAAGGAACCGATCCACGCTGGGGTCACGATCCGGCCACGCAAATAAGCAGCGCTCCGAGCGCCAAACAGCCTTGCTTTTGCAGGGAGTGTGTTGGGGGGGGGGGGGGGGACGACACACACGGGACGGGACGGGACGACACGACGCGGAGAGCGACTGGCTCAATCGTGGGTGCGGCGGGATAACTATTTCGGCTCGCCGACCGATTCCTTTCAAGTACCGACAGGGACCTGTACTTCGGGGCGCCTGTTGGTGCCTTTCTGCTCTGTCGAGGTTGCCGGTTCCCGTCTGCCTGCCTCGCTGTTTGCGGGACCGAAACTCGAAACAGAGCTGGTGGTGGGAAGGGTGTGTCCGTGGGAATGAATGATTTCATTAAGGTCTCTGCGGAGCGAGGACACTCTTCTCCCGGGGAGCCCTGCTCTCCGGCTAGCTCGGGCTCTGTTTATAAATAGTACCAGCAGTCAGGGTGCAGAAATGCTGCTGCAGTCGCTATAGTTCACGGGCGGCTTTGCGGGCCAGCGCGGCCCGAGCGACGCCGAGCTCCGCGCTGCCCGGGCCGCTGCCGGAGAGGCTGGGGGCATTGAAGGCGGCCGCAGCGAGCTCGCAGGGATACGAAAATCCCCAGCCCTTTTTAAAGGCTTTATGGAAAATGGTGCATTCAAGGGAGGGGGCTGTCAAGTTGATGAATGCGCACAAACTGTTCGTTACTTCCAGGCTGTATGCTGCAGAAACCTACGGGACAAGAGTCCTATGTAAGCAATGGGGGTTTCTCAGACCCCGATTAAATCTCTTTCTTTGTGTGTCCTTCTGATTTCCGCAGCTGGATGCAAAGAAGAGCCCCCTGGCCCTTTTGGCACAAACTTGCTCGCAGATAGGGAAGCCGGACCCGTCCCCTTCCTCCAAACTCTCCTCGGTCACCTCCAATGGCTCCGCAGGTGACAAGGACTCCAAGTCGGGCCCCTTGAAGCTCAGCGACATCGGCGTGGAGGACAAATCGAGCTTCAAGCCGTACTCCAAGCCGGGCGCGGAGAAGAAGGAGCCGGGGGCGGCGGGCTGCGCGGGCGCCCCCGCGGCGGGGGTCGCGGCCGGGGAGAAGTCGGGATTCCGGGTGCCGAGCGCCACCTGCCAGCCGTTCACCCCAAGGACAGGCAGCCCCAACTCCAGCGCCTCCGCCTGCTCGCCCGGGCTGCTGCCGACCGAGGGCAAAGGCGGGGAGGACAAGAAGGACTCGGAGGGCTGCGGAAAGAGCGGCAGCTCCGGCTCGGAGGGAGGCCCGGGCACCACCAGCATCAGCCACAGCCGGATTAGCGTGAGCTGTGCCGGGATTAACGTGGAGGTCAACCAGCACCAGGAGAGCACGCCGGGCTCCAAGCCCATCGCATCGGACTCCGCCTCCTCCTGCAGCAGCACCACCGCCACCTCGTCCACCTCCGTTCTGGGCTCCGGCCTCGTGGCCCCCGTCTCCCCTTACAAACCGGGCCAGACCGTTTTCCCCTTGCCCCCGGCGGGCATGAGCTATCCGGGGACGCTGGCTGGAGCCTACGCCGGCTACCCGCCACAGTTCCTGCCGCACGGAGTGGCTCTGGACCCCACCAAATCCTCCAGCCTGGTGGGGGCCCAGCTGGCCGCCGCCAGCAGCCTGGGCTGCAGCAAGCCGGCGGGGTCGAGCCCGCTGGCGGGCGCGTCGCCGCCGTCGGTGATGACGGCGAGCCTGTGCCGAGACCCGTATTGCCTGAGCTACCACTGCGCCAGCCACCTGGCAGGCGCCGCCGGAGCCTCCTGCGCCCACGACCAAGCCCTCAAGTCCGGATACCCCCTCGTCTACCCCACCCACCCTTTGCACAGCGTCCACTCCTCGCTGACCGGCGCCACGCCGCCTTCGCTAGCCGGCCACCCTTTGTACCCCTACGGCTTCATGCTCCCCAACGACCCCCAGCCACACATCTGCAACTGGGTGTCGGCCAACGGACCCTGCGACAAGCGCTTTGCCACCTCGGAGGAGCTGCTTAGCCACTTGCGGACCCATACTGCCTTCCCGGGCACCGATAAACTCCTCTCCAGCTACCCCAGCTCCTCGTCGCTGGCCAGCGCAGCGGCTGCGGCCATGGCGTGCCACATGCACATCCCCACGACGGGCGCCCCGGGCAGCCCGGGCACGCTGGCCTTGCGCAGCCCGCACCACGCGCTGGGACTCGGCAGCCGCTACCACCCCTACTCCAAGAGCCCCCTGCCCACCCCCGGGGCCCCCGTGCCCGTGCCCGCTGCCACCGGACCCTACTACTCCCCTTACGCACTCTATGGGCAGAGACTCACCACAGCCTCGGCCCTGGGCTACCAGTGAGTGCAGGCGGCGGGGCTCTGACACACAACACAAAGTCTAGCGGTAAGGGAAGGAAGCCCTGCGAAACTTTATAAAAGTTGGAAAGAAAAAAAAAAAATCTGACTTTTTATAAAATAGTGTTCATTTGAGGACTGGATCCATGAGCACTGTATTTATTTATGTTAGCTTCAAGCGGGACAACGAATCATAAAGTGCATTACTAAACTGAGCTCAATAGGTAAAAGTGGAACACCCATTGTAGAATATAAATAAAAAGATAGAGGTCTTCTCTTTAATGTTACTTTAAAATTGCTATGATTGTATTGTACGTTCTTATTTAATGTCTCATTGAAACAAAAAATTTACATGCATGTTTGTTACTAAAAACAACTCGCAATTTGTCAGTTATAATTTCAAATTGCAATTATTTTTAAGGTGTATACCCTTGAAAGAGAATTGGTATTTTTTTGTATGTATTCTGGAAGAAAAAACAAAAACAATTCTATTCCAAAAACCTCATTTGCCTTATTTTGTTCTTTAAAAGGAACACTTAACTATTTTTAATTTTTAAGTCCACCCTGTAAAAAGGGTTAAGTAAGGTTTACGTCATGTACTAAAATAGACAATGTATCGCTTTAAAGATTAAAATTCCGTATATTTGATGTATTAAAAGGTTTTACTTTTTTTTTTTTAAATACGCTTTGATTCTGTTATAAAACCCGAGTAGGTCTTGGATGGAGGTGACTGCTAATTTCTCCTTAAGCGTTTATTCAATTTTAATTAAAAATTAAAAAAAAACCAAAAAAAAAAAACAACCAAAGTTTTTTTTTTTTATTGTAACCCCAGGGCTCTCTTAAAAAATAATCAGACACAGTTGGTTTTTTTCCTCGTCAGTAGAATTTTCTGGCACGAAATAGGAAAACTGAGAATCGTTTAAATCTCTTTCCCTGTCTTTAAAGAAGGTAAACGTATATTTTAAATGTTTTTACTGTGAAATATCTGGCTTTTAAAACTAGTTTTCAACTAGAAGACTCCATTCTTTCTTTAGAAAGAAACGGGGAAGGCAGGACTGTTTTGTAAAAGTGTAAGATGATTATCCGAAAGCTCTTTTTTTTTTTAACAATGTAATGCATACCTATTCATCTCTTTCTAAATGAGAAGTTCAGAAGTAATTAGGGAAGCGCTGTTTGAGCTCATCCAGTTATTTTCAATTTCTCTCTTCAGTTCGCACCGCAGCACAAAAGATCGTCACGTAAAAAAAAAAATCGGACAGCTCTGAAAACTCATTTTCTTTTAAAAAGGAAGGGACAGGAAAAAAAAAAAAAAAAAGTCATCCGTTATTTGGGCCGAGTTTGCTCTTTACTGAAGTGCAGTGCCAAACTTGACGTGATCCCGGGAGGGGCTGCCCCTGCCTGCACCGCGTCTCTGCCTCCCCAGCCCGGCTTTCCTCCTAGCGCTCAAGGGCCACCGCCCAGCTCCGGCTCGCCGTCCTGCGTTCAGGTAGGAGCGGGGGCTGCGACCGAGCAGCCAGAGCAGCCACGGAAACTGCGGAACGAACCGTTGCCGCCGAGATAGTCGGAAAAGCGCTGGCCAAGTCCGCGAAAGCAATGCCAGCGAAGGGCTTTGCCCCGCGCTCCGCCAGGCGCTCGCAGCAGCGGCTCGGGCGGAGCCGAGTACCTGCTGCCCCTCGCTCGGCCCCGCTCCTCCCGCCCCGGCCCCAGCGCGACGCACTGGCGGGGGGCAAAGTTGCAAGCGGCGACTTGGCTTGACAAATCACTGGGTTTTCTCCCTCGTTCTGGATTCCCCCCACAATATAATTACTGTTCAGAGTTTCCCGTGGTGCCCAGATGCTAATTAGTCTAATACATTTGCTCCAGATAATTAGTGGAAGTTAGTGTTAATGTGCAAAGGCGAGAAAAGCAGCAAGCTGCTGAAGCTCCAGCGGCCGCCCGGCCGTCCCGGCACGGTTCTGCGGGCCAGGCCCGCGGCGGGGGCCGGGACACACGCGGGGAGGCCGGTGCTGGGCCGCGCTGCGGCTCTTTGGGGACGCTGTCCGAAAGCGGCACGGGAAATGCTTGCGGTTTAACCAAATGTGTTCCCCCCCCACCCGCCTTAAATGGGAAAGGGACCTTTGCGTATCTCTGCTTTAGGAAATGTAAAACGAGCTCTCGTTCTGAACCGATGAGTTAGAGAAAGGGAGGAGAGGGCAGTGCTGTTAACTGCACCAAGTAAACTTGAGTTATAAAATAAGAAGCGGATACAAACACAGAAAGTAATTGAAAGAAGGGCTTCTCGGGTCGGGGGTGATGGTGGCGGAGGATTCATCTGGCGAGCCCGACAAAGGCAGAACAAGCTCACAGTCCTCTCTCTATGCCGCACGCCCCCCGCTCTCCCCTGCAGCCCGGCCAGACTGCCTTCCCCGCTTTGCTATTTTAACTACTCTTAATTTGAGGAAAATTACATTTCAGGCTCCATCTGGGTGTGCAAGCAACAATTACAGTTTTACCGCGATTAAAACACCACCATTGCCACGTTCCTCTCCTGTTCGCGTGTTTTACAATTACGGATCTTGAACAGCTGCAGCTCAGACTTCGCTAGCCAAATCCCATCGCCCATCAGGTGTTGCAGGGGCGATTTAAAAAGAGCGAGGGAGGCATTTGTGTCCTGGAACCCTAACTACAGTTTTGGGGATTTCAGTTCTGAAAGGTTACACACAAAAATTGCTGATGCAAGTGGTGAAATGAACACTTAATGCTACTATTACTGTTTTGCTCAGATACCGTCCCCGAGGTTAAAGAAAAATTAAAACACCTTATTTTATATGTAGAGTGGTGATAAGTAGGTCTCTTTTCCAGCCTTGTTAAGTATATGACCTGGCAAGTGCCACCTAGGATTTTGATATTAATCTATGAAATTCGCCCTTTTTTCTAACAGAGATTGACTTATGGACATTAATGTTTTTAGGTAAAAGGACTACATTTGTTATTCCTCACCACCCCTACCCCCCCCCCCCCCCCCCCGTTCTTACTAACTGGATGGGTTGTGGATTTGACAGCAGCCGCTGGTCCATGCCACCGAACTAAAATAATTTCACAGTGAAAAACCAGCTTGAGAGGACAAGCAACAGAAGGGCAAAACCCATCAAAACCCAAAACTGTGATCAATCTGACCAGAGTCAGGCATACATTAGTTTAAATTAAACAGTTTTGTCTTTCTCACAAATCTTTTTTGAACATTAAAGATAGAATCATGTAATATTTAAATCAACTCTTGTCAGATGCTAAGTGCAACTGAAGAACCAAAATAAAAATTAATGCGTTTCCATCCACTCTCAAAAGCTTACTTTGGATGCTGCTTCGACAAAATACTTCTGATAAGACACGGTTAGAAAAGAAGGGTCCTGTTTATCTTATCTATGGGGAAATGTAATTAAGGTAGTTTTATGAAACAATAAAACACCAGGCTCCACAGACAGCAAAGGAGTCTCTGTAATATATCTGAGCCTAGATGGGCATATGTATCTTGGCTTATGTGCACAAGTCCACACCAAACACATGTATATACATATGCTTGCCTGGTTTTAGAAAGCAAAATGTATGCTAGAACTAAAATACAAGGATGCCTTTATTACGGGAAGGTTTTCCTCAGTGATAAGAAATTCCATTTGCTAAGACCGGAAAGTCACCCACTGCCCATTCACCTTTGGAGCCACCCTCAGCGCAGCCAGCAAGGCACACGCAGTGCTGTGGCTGGGGCTGACCCTCCTCTCCCTAACCCGAGGTTAGGAATGATCTACCCACATCCACAGTCCGAAATCACTCAGGCAAAGGGAATCCCGAAAGATCCAAACTTTCCACAACAAAAGTAAATGTGCATTCCTGTTCTGTAAAAACATTGATCAAACTTCATTTTTCATATTTAGAAAAGATGGAGAGCAATGCTGCTTTAATACTCTTGGCTCTCATTGCAGGCTTTCAGTAGACCACAGTTTAGGGTTTTTCAGTGGTCGTTATTTTTTTATTTTTAATTTTGTGTGTGTGTTTGGTTTTTTTTGGGGGGGGGGTTTTGTTTGGTTGGTTTTTGGTTTTGCTTTTTTTTCGTGTTTGGTTTTTTTGGGGGGTTTTTGTTTGGTTGGTTTTTGGTTTTGCTTTTTTTTTTTTTTTAAAGAAGCGATTCTGAAGTGGAAAACCGCTGGAGCTACCAGGACCAAAATTCCTTTTCATACAGATTTTTGGGTATAATTTCGGACATTTGTAACACCGTGTTGAGACACCCCACCACCCCTGATTCTTTCTGCACCATGAAGCACAGCTAGCACTGCTTCATGAACAGACCTGAGGCAGGCAAGCAACCAGTTCTGATCAGAGGTGTCTAATCCCTGCTAAATCTCTTTCTCAGCTCACTCCTGGAAAATTCAGGGCAGACTACCTTTTCTTTTTTTAAAGTAAAATTTTGTTGCGATGAAGTACAGAGGTGTCAGAAGAAAAAACACGGACCCTGAGTCTGTATGCTCTCACCTCTTCGGAGGCGGAATGCTTTGGCAGCAGAGACGTGGTTGAAATTTGAGCAGATTATACATTTGAGCTTGTGCATAAATGCGAAAAGACTGTCCTAATGCTGGATATTTCTCCATCAACATCAACCAGGTGCTGCTGTTGCAAAAATCTCACCTCCAACTGCTTGCTCTGTGCGTGTGTGCACGCACAGCGATGCACAGACTTTGTTCTCTCTTCATGTCTGAAATTCATCAACTACCCACCCCCGTTCCCAGCCCCACGTCCCCTGCGCGGAGAAGGAAAAAAAAAAAAAAAAAAAAAAAAAAAAAAAAAAAAAGTGAATCCGTTCAGGCTTTGAATATTGTGTAAGAAGCCTTCTGTGTGTATTTTTTTTTAATCTTCAAATGAATTAAAGACAACCTGACAATGCTGTCATCTGTCTTCAACGTCACATCAAGGCAAGAAATAATGATAACAGAGCAGCAGAAGGACGCCCACTGAAACCTGGAGGATATATATACACATATCTATACACACACACACATACATGCCTTGAAACAGTTTGAAAGAGAACAAAATTAGATTACCGCTCTTAGGCTATCACGGTAAAAACGTGTGGGATTTTGCGTGTGTGTGTGTGTGTGTGTGCGAGAGAGAGAGTGGCTCATCTTTCCTGCCTCATTTTGTGAAGCGCGTGCTACTCGATCCAAACCACTTCTGTGGGATGGGACAAGAAGACGAGCAGGCACATTCCTCGTTCCCAAACTACCACGACCAAAGGAAGCCCAAAAATATCTCCCCTCCCCCTCCATCGTTTCAGGTTCACGTTCCAGTTAATAACAAACGTTACTGCTCTCCTGAGGCGCAGGCCAGAGCGGGCACGTTATGCGCAGCTGCCCGGCGGAAGAGGGGCTGCTCCCGGGGAGGAAGAGCGAGGAGCGGCTGCCCGGGAGGAAGAGCGAGGAGCGGCTGCCCTTTGTCTGCGCGGGCCGCGGGCCGGTGTCGCTCCCGGCCGCCAGGCGGCGCTGCGGGCCCCGGCGGAGCGCAGGGCAGCGGCCGGAGCGGAGCCGGGCCCGGCCGGGAGCCCACGGACACGGCGTGCTCGGGCACCGGGAATCGCCCCGCAGCCCCGGAGGGCGGCATGCCACTACAAACGGTGTGCCCAGATAA